AGAATAAGAATTAATTAAGTTTATTATTATTTTTTAATAGTATGTGCTTTTATACATAAAATGTGCCAAGATTTGTTTTATTTAAGGCTTTTACATTTATAAAAATACAATTTTTCAAGTGTACGAATATTTATTTCCCCCCACTGTATATGCATGGCTAGAAAATACATTCTCTGGCCCGCCATTAACACGTTTAATATCACTCCGCAAGCTGGGAGGAATAAATACACGGTCACCATTAAATATGAGACCATCTTGAGCGGACATCTCATCACGTAAGTGGGAGTAGAGTAGCTGGGAGGTTTGCTTTACCAGACGGCTACTCATGTAATATGTTTTACTTCATTTGCTCACATATTTCGTCCTGGTCTGTTGCTCTGTGGATCCGCATGAACGTTCGTTACGGATCGGAAGGAAGCTGATATGTTAAAATTGTTTCACAGTTCTTCTCACCGTGATAGCATGTATGCAATGTACACGTGCTTTCTCTGGGGATATACTAAATTAATGTCGTATTTTGGGGTCCGTAGTAACATTCTTTGTAGACGCTTTGGTGTTTTCGTAAGGGTTTTTCTTCATTATGGCTTCTAGTGGTTTGTGGTAAGTGTGAATCTCTGTCCTTCTACCATATGATGTAATTTCTCCAATGAGAATACTACTGCACGCATTTTCATCTCAATTAGTGCATACCTTTGCTCTGTCTCCGTGAGGGACCTGCTTGCATATGACACGGCCTTTCCTTGTAGTAAGGTTACACCAAGCCCTTCTGAGCTCCATCATACTGAATTACAAGTCCTTCACTCAAGTCGTAGAAACTAACTACCGGTTCTTTTGTCACAAGTTGCTTCATTTCTGCGAATGTTGTACCGGGTTTGTGAAACCATGTCCATGGAACATATTTATTTGTCAGTCGTCGGATTGGCTCCCATGAAGTTGATTGCTGATTTCTTCAGCTGAATTTTTTCTTTGTTTAATTCTCTTCTCGTGGTATCGCTGCAGTGTCAGTTTCTGATTTAAATCATGTTCTGCTGATGTTTACTCAAGTTCATCAGCAACACATGCAATTCGATTTAGGCCGTCAAGAGCGAGCTGGAGACGTTTCTGAAATATTTCGGAATACACATGTACCAAAGGGGAGTCTGAGCCACCGATATCGACCTAAACTGGTTTGAACTGTAATGAGGTAACTGGATTCATTGTCCAATACTACATGCCAGTAAGCAGATGCCATGTTTGACTTGGTGAAGTACTTCGCATTCGCTAGCCTAAACATTATTTCATCTATGATTGGTAATTATGTGGTGTGACAGATTCGTCAACTTGTAGATGCATTTGCCTCGTTGAAGATATCCGCATAGTCTGCTGCTTACTCTCTGGTACCGAACTAACATTATCGTCGTTCACAGTTATCAGGTTCATTTGTTCACTTGCACGTTTTCCTAGCAACGAGGTTAACCTCTCCTTGACTACAGTGAATTCAAGTGAATATTTTTTTATATCATGGGGGTTGCGCAAGACGATTTAACATTTACCGATGGACGTTAGTTCCGCCCCGTTTCACGTTTTTAGTTTCTTAGTAGACGATTGTAAAGAGATGTCATGCACATATTTCTGCAGGTTAAAGCCCTACAATCCACTTGGTAGCTCACTTTCTTTTTGTCGAGCATCATATTTGCGTAGATAATTGTATCTAACTACTCTGTCTGTCTGTCTGTCTTTGTCTCTCTCTCTCTCTCTCTCTCTCTGAGTTTACGAATAACACATATTCAATGCCACTAGGAGAAATTGAAAAAACATCTTATGTTTAGACTGAACCTTCTTTTTTCCACTTCCTTGAACATTTTAGTGCAAAATTATTTCTACGATTGCAAAGTTTACATGATTGGTACCACGCCGGACATGATTCTTTCCGTTTTTCGAGTGTTTTGCTACAGAAATTACAGTCTATTTGCCTCAGTTTACGGGATTTCTGTTTGTAACTTTGCTTTTGCACTTTATTTATTTCCTGTCTCCTTCAGGTCTCTCATAGCTTTTAGCTGTGTAGTCGAAGCTTCACAACTTCGGCATATGTCAATGCATTGCCTAAGAGTTAGTGACGAATGCTGTAATATTTTTTCCGCGCTTGGTTGTTTCTTGCACCCAGAACTATGCGTTCTTTTGCAAAGAAAATTATGTAAATATTCACAAAATTGCAAGACTTCGATAGGTTACCCAAGCATATTACATAAAAATCAATATTCTCACCTTATTTATGTTTCTTTGGTTGAAATTATATCGTACGTCTCATTAGTTTGTGTGATAAAATGTTGGTCAAACTTGTCTATAACCGTGTCTAAGTCATCATTGTTTCCGTTGAATCAAACTGAAAGCCGTTGTATATTGTCAACGCGTCTGGTCCGAACGTGGAGAAATAGTACCGTTTGGTACTCCTTATTTAAGTTGGCCAGTTTGGTCACCATACGATAATTATTACGCATCTATTTCCAGAGTTTCCATCCTTCAGAAGATTTGTGCCCAGCTTGCCTGGTGGCGATATATTTTACTGGAATCCTCCCGCTGTTTTCATGATCGCCGTGTTATCGTCACTCCAAATGCTGGATGCTACTGTGGCGTGACTTACTTCCTCGCTGCCACCATGTTACGCTAAGTCATTATTGTAATACAAAGGGAGTATATATTAAACAATAGTAAATAGAGACTACTTATTGGAGAATTCAACATGTTATTTATAGGAATTTTACTTTAATATTCGCTTGTAAGAGAGATATCTGCATACCAATACATTTATTTCATTGTTGAATTTAACAACACAAGATTTCATTCACGTAGTTTGCGTCTAAGAAAGATTGTTATGTTAAATCAGGGAAAAACAGGAGAGAGCCGACGCACTTTTATTCAAGTACGAACAGAAAGAGAGAGAAAGAGGGAGAAAAGAATTAGGGAGAAAAGGGGATGTATAAGGGAGCGATAATCGCATTCTTTAACGGTGAGTAGGGAGTATATATTAAACTGTAATACAATAATGTAACAAAGACAATCAAAAGCAAAAAATAGCTTTTCAACCAAGACAGAAAATTTGTTAATAATTGAAGCATTAGGTGGCTGCCTAAATTCAATCAATATGAAAAGTAATTTGATATATCCACTCCATAATGTGCATAATGTATTTTCTCAAATGTATGACGAGGACATGTTAATCTTTTCCAAAAATTAATTTTTTCTTATCATTTCACCGCATGCAAGCAATATGGCCACTAAAAATAAGAAAAAGACAAACGCTATTAAAGAGCGAGAACAATAAAAGAAGAGGAATGAAGAAGACGGTAGATAACAAATGACATTACATTTTAATTTTGGTGGAAAATTTGGGTGGAAAGCAAGAACCCGGGAGAGAATTCCACAGGCGAGAAGTGCGAAAAAGAAACTATTAGCAAAAGACTTATGGTTACATTACCTAGCCAATTCAACTGTAAAATGATGAAACCTTGTTGTCAATGTAGTACTTCATAAAGTCTAGGTACCATAGAGTTCATCAGAACAATTACGATGAAAGCATTTATAGAAAGGGCACAGTGCATTAAGGCGGCGGGAAAGTAACAGAAAAGAATGCCAGGAGTTTCAAGTTTTCTTTGGATTTTATCAAGAATCTCAAAATATGTAACAGGAGCACCAGACCATATATAGCATCTATATTCGAAGCATGGACTTATAAGTATGTAAGATAGATTCTAGAGGGGAAAATTTCCTCATATCAAATCTAGCAATTGATTCAATATAATCTTTTCGCTACATGCCACCAGGGAACGTTAGCCGGAGAAGTCGTAACGAGTCACTCTCCTGGAGGTTAGTATCAACCATGTTGATGGAAGGCAGAAATGAATTTCTCAGATGATTAATAGAAAACAGTTTTGTTTTGGAGGCGTTAAGATTAACAAGCCATTCCTTGCCTCACTTAACAGCATTTTTATGTCACTTTGGAGATCAGCTGCTAATTTAACCTTATCGAACCGATCAAACTTAATATTAAGACAGGAGTAAATAGATGTGTCGTCAGCATAGATGCCGATTTGAGAGCTGAAGCCAACGTAAGTCTGAGGATAGAGCCCTGGCGAACACGCATTAATGCAAAAACATCTAGAAGTGTGGCCGTTCAAGAAAACTTTCATTTTGGGATTTGATAAGAAAGATTGAATCAGTTCAAAAATTCACCCAGAAATACATCAACGTCTTGAAAATCAATATGCCAAACCCTGTCAAATGCCTTCGAGATTCACCATTCTTATCTAAATCTTGATAGACTCTTTCGGTTAATCGTTAATCAGCAGTTGATCTAGTAAAGCGAAAGCTATAATGCTTATCTGAAAGATGACCCTGCGATGTGAGGGGATTAACCAGTTCGGAGTTGATTAGAGCCTCTAGTACCTTGTCAAAAAGTGATAGAAGACTAATAGAAGGATAAGACGGTTCAACCGAGTTCTTAAAAACTGGAACTACAGAAAATGATTTTCAACAAGCCGGGTGGAGTGGATAAAGGCGTTGGTTAGATCCAGTGACAAGACCCAAAAGAGTGTGAGTTCAATACCCGGTTAAGGCAGTGGAGAACTTTCAGAGGGAAAATTAACAGGAGATAACTGATAACTGACATCCATCAAACATGGCACGTGGAACTAGAACAGTCTACCCCAGTGAGCGAAATAGTTCGACATTCCAACCACCTGAAGAAGGCCGGAGCGTACAACGGCCGAAACGTTGTGATAAATATGGCGACAAAGATGAGAACAATAGTCCGACTAATGGAAATAATGTATTATATGCGCGTAATTCTTTAATTCAATTTCGTTATTATAGTTCCGTGAATTTTCAGTGTTTGTATTACGTTGATACTCTTTTAAAAGAATTCCGTCATTTCTATGAAATGTGAGACCAATTCAAGCCACTTATTCATTTTTAATTAAGGATCAATAAAGTCAAAGGAAAAGAAAAGTTATATATCACCTTACCTACGACAGTTGGTTCTAAATCTACAAATATTGCTCTGGGTACGTGCTTTCCTGCACCAGTTTCGCTGAAGAAAGTGTTAAAAGAATCATCGGTCCCTTGTTGCCTTTCGTGAGGCATGTGCCCATCCGGTTGGATTTTATGCTCCAAACAATACAGCTCCCAGCATGCATTTCCTATCTGCACTCCAGCTTGGCCAACGTGGATGCTGATACATTCCCTCTGTTGAGAAAATAGGACAAACGATTGCTTGAAAGAAAAGGCTATACTGACATGAAGTAATTTGAGGAAATGTGATTCTTAAATAAAATGAAAATAAAAAATGTTATATATACATATATATATAAAAGGCTGAAACACTAATATTCCATGGTTATAATCTATTACATTGGAATCGTAATCACGATCCAATTCATCAGACCCACAAATATTTGTAGGTCTGATTAATTGATCGTGATTATTCCCAATGTAATATTAGTGTTTGAGCCTTTTGTATTATATTCTTGCTCTGTCCTGGACGTTGAGCTCTACCGGATTCTATCCGCTTGGAAGTTTATATATATATATATATATATATATATATATATATATATATATATATATATATATTGACCACTAATATCTCTCTCTCTCTCTCTCTCTCTCTCTCTCTCTATATATATATATATATATATATATATATATATATATTGCATATAATTAGGTACCTCTAAAGATTCGGTAAAAAATGAGCGTACATGATGAAAAAGTGCAACGAAATAATAAAACAAAAGTTTATCGTCAAAATCTTTCCGTTATTGTTAATAATAACGGAAAGATCAAAAATTTTTATTATTAAATTATATTTTTTCTTCTTCTTAGAACCTTCGAAATTTTGGTTAAAATTTTGTTTTTCTTTCGTCTGTGGGTGACCATAAATTAGTATGGGAAATTTTAGCGACTTTTGCGGTGCAAAACACAGATTTCGAAATTCTTGCAAAAATCAGATAATTGTCGGAATTTAATTGAACTTTCAGAACTTATGAATTGAATTATTTTTAAAATATTTTTTGCGTCTGGTAACCTCCACTTATTTAAATTTGTAATATTTCGGTAAATTCTTTTTGTAACGTTTAATACTTATAAAGACAAGTTATCAGAGAATTTAACTCATTAATTTTTTTGGTCAAACATGGCCCCAGGTTACAGAAAATCTGCTCTGAATCGTAAAATAAAAAATGCGATAAAACTAAGATATTATTTAATTAGAGGAGTTTTTTTTAACTGCTTTTATGAATAAAATATATTATGGACACTATTGTCTTAAGAAAAATGTTTTTCGATGAATAGTGAATCTTTACAAGAATTGTTTCCTTTTTTTTCATTAGAATAATTTATGAACTTTTAAGTTTTTAAAAATTCTATATTAATTGGCAACCGTCAAGTGATATTGTCATTTAAATTAAGACTGTATTTACTAATGAGAATTGGCTAGACTCACTACAATTCAACGAACCCAATATTTTAAAAAGACTTTTGAATTTATTTTATGCTTCTATAAACGTGTCAACTTTTTAAAAATATGGCTGTCCAAGAAAATAAGAGTAAATTAAAATTTATTGGTAATTTTAGCGTTTTTACTGATCATAACAAAAACCCCATTCCAATCAATTGAAATTCAGTTTGAAATACAACAAAGTGTTTTGCTTATTGTAAATATCAAATTTAATCTACTATCTTGAAATAAAAACTAAACTAAAAGTTTCAAGAAAGATACTGCATTTTTAAAATGCATTTTAAACCTTAGGTATCGCTTTTTGGGGGGTTACCTACATATAATATAAATAGTATTTATTTAAATGTTATGATTCAAGCTAGAACTAGATTTAAAAGCCGGAGATGTTTCTTTTGACAAATGACTAAATGAAAATTAAAAAAAATATATTTAATATTTAATAAGGTAAACATTACTTTTACAAAATCCATTGTTGAAAAATTCTCAGTACATGTAATATTTTGGCATTCGAGACGGTCAGAAAAGTAAGAAAATCGAAACTAATTGTTAGAATTCAGCAATAGTTACTTTTGAAGAAATTGGAATGTTCATGATAGTTGTAAAATCAAAAATAGCATTTGATTTATTATCTGGAACTGAGTAAAATAGAAGCACAACTGACAGCAGTCAATAAAAAGTGACTTTTGTTTTTACGAGATATTTTAAAATGTTATTGGAGTAGTATTTTGTCTCTATGTCGAGATAAAGTCATCTGATTAAAGAAGTGAATTTAGCAAAAACACATGAACATCCTTCAGGATATGGGCGAGAATAGTTCTCCAATTCCCTGTTTTTTTGTTATTCGAATTAACTTTTGACTCTTTACCATTCCTCTTTAGTTTTGCTTTGTCATCTAATCACATTTTAAATAGTATGTCCCTTCAGAGGGGAGGCAATCATAGTTCTCCACTAGTTCCTTTTTTTATTATCTATGCATTGCCATGACTTTCTTTGGCTATATAGTGGAGTTGTCTTTCCCCGGTTTTGAATTCAGAGTTTTCCTTCTCTTAAACAACCCAAGTATAGTCTAGCCTTCTCTGCTGTTTAATCTATAGCTGTTTTCCCTCCCGATTTCAGTGTACTGGTAATGAAGAGGATCGCTATGCTACTAACATAGGTATGATCTTGAACAAAAAAAAATGAACATTCACTATCAAGTGTTCAAGAAGTAGACATCAAGATAAACCTTTCCAAAGCAAAAACTATGATCTGGAATTGGAACAAAAGCAGTGATGACACGTACCCTGAATCTATCATAAAAATTCAAAATGTGGAATTAGTAAATGCTAAACACTTCAAATATCTTGGTGTATCAGCTAAATTTAGTATACAAGATAAGGAAATTGAAGATAGAATACTCTGCTCTATGGGTGATTGTGTCCAATACTGTAAGATGCTACAGAACCAAAACATTAACCCTTGCGTCATGATTGAGACTTCATATGGATGTAATGCATGGCGCTGAACCCGTTTAGAAATATCTAAACTGTCAACAGATCATTGATTAAAAATGGCTTCTAGCAATTTAGAGAGGACCATGTTTGCCGTAGTCTCTGAATATGGAATCCAGTGAAGTCCGTAATCTCTTCAATATCAGAGGTTGGCAGTGTAGATTCGGAGAAAGTAGCGGCTGTTAATTCTTTAAGTCTTCGATATCAGGTTGGCAGTGGAGATATTTTGGGAGAAAAAACAAAATGGCTGCCTTTATACACGTCGGATTGAATATTTTGAGCTTTCTGATTGGTTAACCCTTCTCTTGGTGGACTATAAAAATGAGTCAGCTCATTTTGGCTAGCTCACTAGTACACGTATATATAAAAAAAACTGTAACAAGGACCTCATAAACTGGCACTACAGAATCACAAGCAAACACTGTACCAAATAAAATAAATCACATCACTTTTAACAACAGTAACAACTAAAATGGATAGAACATATAATTTGAAGAGAAAATAATCACATAATAACAAAGTTGACGTTCCACACAATTTTGAAAAAAGTCTAGGAAGGAAGCCCCTCCCCCATTAGTACTGGGAAGAGCGATAACAGTTACTTGACCTGAGAAATGTATTTCCTGAAAATTGTTTTAATAGAAAATTTTAGAAATATCTTTTATATGTTACATCTGACAGTAACACTGGCTGCTCATTCAATGAAATTCGATTGTTTCCATATAAGGAAACAACTAATATTAACATTGCCATTGCTAGCAGAAGATTCATGTCAAGAGCATTTTTGGAAGTGAGTTCAATAGACTAGCTCGGAATTTGAACACGGCTCTACAATTCCACCTGATGCACCAATGCCTGTTATACTACCTGCATATGTTGTACAAATGTATATAAAATTTTCCAGCGAAAATCCGATTTCCAACTGTGGTTTCAATCCAAAAAAGCTTAATACAATAATGCGATTAACTTTTAAAGGACTAAGGCTTTGCATTAAAAAATGCTACAATAAATCATATCATTTAATCATATTCATGGCTCTATTTTAGCAAAACTTTATTTTCGTGCAAAAATAATGTTTACAAAGCCTGACAAATTTTTCCATGGTCAAAACGTTGAATTCAGTAAATTTCCTAATTTCGTTCTTGAATTAAACTCTATCTGATCTCTTTGGACACTGGTTGTGATTGTCAGTGATTGTTAGTGAACAATTGTGGAGGATTTGATATGGATTGAACGCAATACAAAATGCTCCATAATTGTAAATAAGTCGTAGTCCAATAAAGGTTAAAATCTAATAGCTATAAATTCAATTTTTCATATTTTTTAAACCCATTGACGTGATGTACTTAATTTTTATTAAAATGTTCACTTTGCACAATATGCTAAATTATGCAGAATTGATTTAAAGATTTAATTTTGACCTAAATGACGAAAAGTCCGAACTATCGTGGCGTGGATTATTAGCTGAGAATAACAATTAATGTAGTTTTGGTGCTATGTACAAGCCAAAATGAATAATCGTCTCTATCATTACTTGGATATTGATCTTTGTCTAGCTTAAGTAAGAAAAAATCGGTTAACGCGCGCGCGCGCGTGTGTGTGATAGAGAGAGAGGTAGCATCAGGCAACAGTTTAATGATAAAAATGTGCTTATTATTCACATGGATGAAATTTGCAGATCTAAATTTAGCTAATAATCGCGTGTGGCTACAAATTTATTGATACAATCTCATACTAGTAACGACCTGTAGTTGAGTGTTTCCGGAAATATTATGCGATTATATCTGCTCGCATGTTTACGCCTCTGAATATTACGCATCGTCGCATTATGTCTCTATGCTTATCAATGAGGTAATGTTATAACTGATATGAATTGCATATTTAAAAACTTCACTTAGTCGATATATATATGGTATATAAAGTTTTATATGTCAATATGATATATAATTTTTTATATATCATGACAATGTTAGATAATTTAATGATAAAGTGTAAAAAAATTCTGTGTGACGCGTTTCGCCTTTTTGGACTTTATTGGTAATGTTTTGTTGATGGAATTATATGTATAGGAAAGGGGAATATGAGAACGCAGACGTCAGTTATAATTATGCACAGACAGACAACGCTGAAAATGTTTGAAAAGTTTAAAATTTCAGCGTTTAGATCATTATATATATATATATATTATATATATATATATATAAAATATATATATATATATATATATATATATATATATATATATATATATATAAAATATATAATATATAATATATGCATATATATATATATATATTATATATATATATATATATATATATATATATATATATATATATATACACATATATGTTTATATATAATATATATATACATATATATATGCTATATATAATATATATATATATATATATATATATATATATATATATATATATATATATATATATATATATATATATATATATATATATATATATATATACATATATATATATGTATAATATATGCATATATTTATGTGTGCATTATAATATATACATATATATATATATACATATATATATATATATATATATATATATATATATATATATATATATATATATATATATATATATATATATATATGTGTGTGTGTGTGTGTGTGTGTGTGTATGTATGTATGTATGTATGTATGTATATAATACAAAGCCCAAACTGCTCAGCCGGGTGTTGTCCGATTGGAGGCCCCGGTCAGTGCTTTGTTACTTACGCTATCTTATCAACATTTGCTTTGTCTACCTACATTTATATAAGTTACAAATTAAACTAAGCACAACTGACTATTAAAGAATGACGATTTTTGCAAATTTTTTCGTCTAACTTCATGAATTTATTTTGCTTATGCTAAATCTCTAAAAAACACTATATTAAAATTTACTATTTTTTTAGCCACAATGTTGAATATGTTAAAATTATTCAACTTATTACAAGAAAAATCTCAAATTAATGTTAAAAATTGCCGCAAAACATTGTTGATTTATTTTAAGATGTAATGATCTATTATGACAGGTCTCTAATTTGTATTTATATTATATTTATTTTCAATTTCTCTACTTGAATTGTTCACCTATATTGCATTATTATACATAATTAGGTTACCATAAAATTTATATTTTATATGAATGTATTTTATGAAAATTGAGATGCAGTAGAGTGGGAGGGGAGGTGCTCCGTATCATAGATTCGGTGGGTGCCCACGAGACCCTTGCATCGGCTTTATATATATATATATATATATATATATATATATATATATATATATATATATGCGTATGTGTGTATGTTAAAATCTCACAAATAAAGTGACGTTTTGTGCATTCTTTGAATGAAGAGAGACATTCAACATGACGCCAAAATATGAAATATGATTCCAAAGTTTTTTAATGATTAAAAAGTAGAATCTTATTATGGATCCGTAATTTAACTTAGAAAAAAATGACCATTTTCTTTAATCTGCAAAGGATCATCCATCCTTAAAATATACTAGCATGCATATAAAAAATAAAATGTATTTAATGTTTGTAACGTAGATTACAATATAGCTGGTCTCCAACTTAAGTTAACCAACAGAATAATGCATTTTATAAAAAGAACCTGACGAAAATATACTTAATAATCTTTTCTATAAACACAATAAATAAGCAAAAATGTACTTTAAAAAATTAATTTTCAGTTTCTGGAATTCGATAAAGAAAGACTGAAAACTATGCAGCACAGTTAATTTAAAAAGTTTCTTTACAGATGAAAAAGTACTTACCATGTTTTTTTCTGCATAAAATGAGTGACAGGGGATTCGTTAGAAATAAGTAGACCAAGAAGCTTTTCTATATTCTTCCTGAGTGTTGTTGTCGTTTCTGAGATTTTTCTCGTTGGTTTGATTCAGTGCCTAACCTCACGCAGACAACGATGAGTCTTAAAGTGAGAGAGAAGTCTAGAACAACTGAGCCACTGCCTGTCATATATATAGTCGCCAGCTGTGCCGATTGGTGGTGGCGGTGGTGGCGATGTTGCAGCACTCACATATTGTGTTCGTTTTAACATAATAAAACCGTGTAATACGACTATATTACTCTTCTTATTAGGTATTTTATGTACTCATGACTGACGCAACATTTGCGCACATTAAAATGAGTTACTTTGCAAGATCAGAATGATACATATCACACAATTATTTTAAACTAAATTTAATTAGTCATTTCATTGTTTTATAGGGAACTGAGTATTCGTTATTTGCCAATATCAGAAAATTTGTTTTTGCTTTCAATTTCATTGAAAGTCCACTAGTATGATACAACTACTACTTAGTCCTTGAAATTAATTCAGTATCAAAATCAGTATATGATTTACATTTATTTTTAATTGTTGTTTTAATTTCTGTTAGATATTTTCTCAATTTAAATTATGTGGGCAAGACAAAACTACAAAACTAATAAAAAGAAATGTAAAATTGCATAAAAATAATTAAAAAGCAAACAAATAAATAATGCAATTGACTAAGTTTGTTTATTTCACTTTCTTTTAAGGGGATTGTTTTAAAAATATTAAAAGAAGAATGTTACTCACATGTATTCTTTAAATAAAAGAAACTGCTAAAATGACACCAGACGGTTAGGAAAAATTAGAATAAAATTTGATATGTAAAACTTTGTATATGTAAGGCTCAAATTGATGTTATAAAAGAAATTATGTCTGACGGATTATAAAAATATATAAATTTATAAATTTTTTAATGTTTTAATCAATGGTGAAAAATAGTTACTATAGTATTAAATTTCTGATTCAATTTGAAACCGATTTGTGACTATTTAAGAAGTCTGCCTTGTCAGACAGGCAGAAGGGTTTCGGCTTTCACAAGGAAGACGTCAGCGTGTTCTGGAATCTGAACAAAAAGAACTAAAATTCGCCGACGACGACTACGATTACTACGAAAGAGAAGAATCTGAAAGAAAAAGAACAAGAAGTAAAAGAAGAAAAAGAAATAAAAGCAGAAAGGAGAACATTCTAACTAAGATTATGATTATCTTTCTATAGTTGTTTGTGAAAGTTTGTCACAGAATTAAAGGTATCAACCCTGATTTTCAACTTTATATTATTTTATTAGAATTATCTCACTTTGTAAAACTGAACTATTATCTAAACTCATCGAAGCCTGTGAATTGTCAAACATTTTAACTCTTTTCTACAACTGAATGAATCGAAGTGAGTGGATATGCTGTTGATATTAATTATAATTATTTTATGAGCCCAATAGAATTATAATTAGAACTTGTTATCTTACATAAGTGTCAGGCGCACAAAGGAACATTTTCTGTAAGATTGTTTTATGAATTTTGCATTTTTATGCTATTTTTATTTCATTTAATAAATGTAAATTTCTTTCAAATTTCACACCAGAGTAACAATCTTGTGTTTTTACATTTGCGCCATTTATAATGTTCGGGATAAGAGATTTGGCGTTCTCTTTTCTCCTCCTCTCCCTAAAAATCTATTTAAAACTGCTGTCGATAAACTGAATAAACATTAACAACGTTTTGTTTTCAAAATTAAACCACTTGAAATCAATCCGTTATTGGCTTTTATTTAACCCGTTAAGATGTATTTACCGACAGCATTGGCATTGTTTTTTTTTAATAATCTTAAAATTAGCTATAGCTAAATAATCGGTACCACCAAAACGAATGCGTTTTTTCCGAAATTAAAGCAAAACATCACTACCCCGTTTCAAAAAAAAATTGCAAAAAATCCGGCAATTATCCGATATAAACGAAATCTTCAGTACTTATTCATTAATGAATTAATTGCATACTGAATAGATTATTTTATTAGAAAGCTTTATGAAAATATTGAGTGGGGGATGTCTGTTTTAACACCCTTTTTCGATATCCTTTTAATTTGGGGGTCGCAAATTTCTTTTACATTTATAAAAGAAAAATCCCTGAAGATGTTATTTCAGTAAAAGAAAAAAAAATGCAATATCAAATGTGAACATTTTTTTGTTTTACAATGGTATTCACGTCAGCAGGTTAACATTGTGATGAGCATACTAAAAATTCGTCTCGAACCTTACAAAAAAAAAAAAATTCAATAAAACTCAAAAAATAATTTTTGCTGAGAGTTTGTTCTTTCACAGTTTAATAAAATTCATATTGGACGGGGAAAAATCTACACTTATTTTTAAAATATTACTTATAAGTTATCAGTGAAATTTTGGCATTCATCCTGTTGCTGTTCCTAACAAAAGTTTTTTATATTAAATAAAGACATATTTGAAGAATCAAAAAATGTAAAGTTTAATGTCATTTTCGAATATGAACTATTTTAAAAAGAATTTTAAATTTTTATTTTATTTTAACAGCTGTTCCATTATTATTTGTATGGGTGTTCAAAAAGGAAATAATTCTGATTGAATATTCATAATAACTATTAAATTCAGAATAATTAAAAAAAACAAATTAGATGCAATTAAATATTTTATGACATCAGATAGGTAACAAAATAATCAAAATTAAATGCAAAGTATTAAGCTCAAACATCATTTTTATAACTACGTAAAATGTAGTATAATAAATAATTCATTCTACTCTCTACTTACTATGTCATAAAAGCGTATAGAATAAAAACATTAAAAAGTTCAAGTTAATTTATTGTGATCGATGACATCACAGGTAAATAAACATTATTTTAATTATATTTTAAGCAAAAAGTAAGTTTTACGCATACAAAATCTTATTAATTAATTCTTAAATTTACTGACCTTGAAACATATTTCTAGGACGAATATTGAACTTTTAAGAGATTTTTAAATTTGTCGTTGACATTTTTTCATTTGTATATGCGGTTCGATGTCGAACCTGTGGACGTGCCATTGTTTTAAAAATGCCAAGACACTTTATTTACGCACGGAAATTAATTTTTCTTTTAATATGGATTAGCTTTAGGTTATTATTATTCAAAATTTAACGTTAAATGGTAATATTAGTCATTTCCTTATAAGGAACCATTCACCATTAAATATACCAAGCAGTCAGTTGAAATTTATAAAATCTTTCTTTTGAAACAATTTTTCCGGAAAATAAGTTTTTCAAGTCCAGTAGCTGTTATCGCTCTTTCCAGTACTGATGGGGGTTTTTCTTTCTAATCTTTTATTTGAAGTAGTGTTGAATGTCAACATCTTGATTATGTCATTATTTTCTCTTCGAATTATATGTGATATTCATTTTAGCTGTTGCTGCTGTCGAATGTCCTCAAGTAATGCGGTTTCTGCTATTTGGTACAGTTTGTCGGAGTTACTTCCTCGTTCGATCCTTAAACTAAGAGAACAGGTCATTTCGACCTTGACCTCTCGGTTGTGCTCCCTATACACTGTAAACCTGTGGTAGAGACTAGCAAGTTCCCTTTTTAGTTAAGTTATATTACAAACCTAGTTGTAATATACTGCTAAACATTTTAGGTCTTAGTTCCCTTTAGCTAATCTCGACTTTTTTTTATAGAGACTTTACTGTGTTAGCTTGCCAATTCTCTTGCTGGTCTCCCTTACCACAAGACAGTGACTTCTCACTAAATTTAGGGTCGGCGACTGAACGGTCGGATACGCAGGCTCCTGGCCTTCGCGGCCAGGTCGTCGATCACCGGGCTGCGTATTAAGTTACGCTCCCATTTTTTTTTGTCTGCCAACTTAACGATAGTTGGAAACTTTCCTTTCTCTCTCTCCTTCGCCTACTACTCCTGGCTCCCGTACACAACGTTTGTAATTATTATGGGAGGTTACTAATATCGGACTCGACCGGCAACACGCAACGCCTGCACTGGACCTTTGACATGCCCGAACAATGACAGCTCCACTCTCCTTCCCAACCCGTCAAGTTGGCATCCCGGTCAAGATCAACATCAACTGCAACAACCAACAGCGATCATCACGGCAACAACTACAGTGGTCATCTCAACAGTGATCATCTGCAACGACCAGCAGCGACCACCTGCATGACCAGCAGCGATCACCTGTAACGCGGCAACGACCAACATCAACTAGAGCGATCATCTCTGCAGCGACCACCTGCATGACCAACAGCGATCACATGTAACGACCAACCTCGACCATCAATGCCTGCACCTGAACATCTGCATCTCTGCCGTTCCGACCACCTTTATTTCTTTTCTAGAATAAATTAGCATATATCATATATATCCTCGTTCTGTCGTCTATGTTGTTTCACCTTGTCAGATTTAACGTCTTCGAAAATGTTAGCGGGCCTCTCGTGACCTCATCACCCTTTTGTGATACGGGGGGCGCTCGGGGGGGGGTCCGCTACAAGTTCTTTGTGATTCTGAAGCCCCAGTCCACAAGGTTCGAAGAAGTGTGGTCTTCGCCAAAGCTTTACTCGCTCTAAGCGTTTTTTAACCATTGATCTTAGAAAGCTAATAGATACAACTGACAGTTTAGATTTTTTTGGATGGCTTTGGTGTCATGCATTACATTCATATGAAAGTTTGGATCTGACGAGGCTATTTATGAACAGGACTCGTGTTTTCAAGGTTAATGTTTTAGTTTTGTAGTAATTTGCTGTGTTGGTCTAAACTACATCTGGTGCAGCAGATTCTGTTCAATTTCCTTATCTCCTATGCTAAATTTGTTATAACTCATCCAACACCGACGTATTTGAAGTGTTTGGCATTTAATAAATTCACATCCTGAATTTTTATGGTGGATTCAGGATAGGTGCCATCGCTGTTTTCATTCTAATTCCAGATCATAGTTTCTGT